GGTCACCACGGCAATCGGCCGATGTTACTAGTCCGTTTGGACACCGAGTTGCAGATTTATGAAGTGTACAGGTATCCAAAAGGCTATTTAAAATTACGTTTCAAGAGATTAGCTCATGATATTATTCCCGGACATACATCAGTTCAGCTAAAGGAAGAAGACATAGGACACACCGAAATACGCAGCTCAATGATGAGATACTTCAGCAACATCGCGGGATACAATGGAGTCTTTCTCTGTGGTGATTATCCTCACTGGATTTTCTTGACGAGTCGTGGAGAGCTGAGAACGCATCCCATGAGTATTGATGGTCCCATAAAATCCTTTGCAGCTTTCAATAATGTCAATTGTCCTCAAGGATTTTTGCATTTCAATAGAAAGCAAGAGCTAAGGATCTGCGTTCTACCGACTCATTTATCTTACGACGCACCCTGGCCTGTAAGAAAAGTCCCACTGAGATGCACACCGCACTTTGTTACTTACCACGCAGAAAGCAAAACTTACTGTGTAATTACCAGTACATCTGAGCCTTTCAAGAGTTACTACAGATTCAATGGCGAGGACAAAGAATTTACTGAAGAAGAAAGACCCGAACGATATATTTATCCAATTCAAGAACAGTTTAGTATTGTTCTTTTTTCACCGGTATCTTGGGAGACAATTCCCAATACGAAGATTGACTTAGACCAGTGGGAACACGTTACGTGTTTGAAAAATGTCGCGCTCGCTTATGAAGGTACCAGGTCCGGGCTTAAAGGTTACATAGTCGTGGGAACGAATTACAACTACGGAGAAGACATCACCAGTCGTGGGCGAATTATTATCTATGACATTATTGAAGTTGTGCCTGAACCCGGACAGCCGCTGACCAAAAATAGATTCAAGAAACTTTACGCTAAAGAACAGAAAGGTCCAATTACTGCGATCACACAAGTCTCGGGTTTCTTAGTCTCAGCAGTTGGTCAAAAAATTTATATTTGGCAACTTAAAGACAATGATTTGATAGGAGTTGCTTTTATTGATACTCAGATATATATTCACCAGATGATCAGTATCAAAAGTTTAATTATAATTGCAGATGTTTACAAATCAATAAGTTTGTTGAGGTTTCAATCAGAATATCGTACCCTGTCATTAGTCAGCAGAGATTTCCGTCCCGCTGAAATATTTTCTTTGGAGTATTTGATTGACAATACCAACCTCGGATTTTTAGTTTCCGATGGTGAAAATAATTTATCGTTATTCATGTATCAGCCGGAGTCACGAGAAAGTCTCGGGGGACAAAAACTTATTAGGAAAGCAGACTTTCATCTTGGACAAAAAATAAATACTTTCTTTAGGATTAAATGCAAGGCTACAGATATTGCTAACCCGGCTAAAGTTTTTCCCGGAGCTGATAAAAGACAAGTTACCATGTTTGGTAAGTATTTATTTTATTAAATTAATATTATTATCAAACTTAATTTTATTGAAATTAATTTTTTTGTTTTTTTTTTACTTTTAGCTACACTGGATGGCGCTCTGGGATACGTTTTGCCGGTACCGGAAAAAGCTTACAGACATTTACTTATGCTGCAAAATGTGTTAGTTACTCACATATGTCACACCGCTGGTTTAAATCCTAAGGCTTTTCGAACTTACAAAAGTTATGTTCGGATGCAAGGTAACCCTGCACGTGGTATCATCGACGGAGATCTTGTTTGGAAATACTTGCAGCTGCCAAATAATGAAAAAGCTGAAATAGCGAAAAAAATCGGAACTCGTATGACGGATATTATTGAGGACATATTCGAAATCGATCGTCAAACAGCACATTTTTAATTTTATTAATGTGTCAATTGTTTTAGTGACAAGAAGAAAATGTATATAAATTACATTAATTTTTTGCTCATTCATCGTTGACGTTATTTTTGTATTTATAAATAAATTTTAGGAAATAATGTGTAAAATAATTTTACTTATAAGTTAATAAAATTATTTGATAATTAATTTAATTATTGTATTTAATTAATAATTTTAATTTAAATAGATTGCAAAATGTATGAATTATTTTAAGATTAATGTTGATTCAACCAAAATTTTGAATGGAAAACAAATATTCTCCTTGAATGCTAGAAAAAAAAAAAAAAAATCGTCGCTAAGGATGATATCGATTTAACAATTCAACAACCAAAGTAACTCAAAGTTTGATTATACTTTGTTAAATCTAAATAATTTTTTTCGTACTTAAAAAGTAAGTTTAAATATTTTATTGTATTTAAAATAAAAATTAATATTTATTATATTTTTTTTTTTTTTTAAACAGTGACTGGATCTTTGGAGCCAACGCTATTAGAAAAAAGAATTTCAGATGCATTTGACGTATTTGATAATGCTCGAAGCCATGAAGTTGACGTCAGAGAATTGGGTACAATAATAAGATCACTGGGGTGTGTTATAAGTGAAGCAGAGCTACAAGAGATTCAGGTTGAAGTTGAAGATGTAGAAAATAATTGCGTAACACAGGAAAGATTCGTTGAATATATGGCCAAAGCAATATGTGAACAAAAGTTAGTATTTAATTGTAACATAATTATCAAGAATTTGATTTTGATTTTGTAAGATAAATTACTTTGCTTAGATTCAAACCAGCAGATCCTGAAGACTTATTGCAAGCATTTCAACTCCTGGACCCAGATAATCATGGGTATATTATGCGTACTGACATGGAAAAAGCATTGATGGAAATCGGGGAACCTTTTACCAAAGAAGAAATCGATGAAATGATGTCTGTAGCATGCGATCCGGTGACTAACAAAATAAACTATGAACTTTACATCAATTCACTTATTGTAAGTTTGTATTTTGCAATAATTAGAATAATACTTGATATATTTTATTAGATTCATTTGCCTGATGATGAAAATGTTTATAAAATTGCTGAAGAACTAGAAGCCAATAAAACAAAAGCTCCATTCAGACAAAAATTGATGAAAGATTTTATTTGAAATATTCAACAAGTATTAAACTTTTATTTAAAATTTATCTTTTATAAAAATATCAAAAAGATATATCATTCCATTTACACACTTAGATAAAAATAGACTTTTAAAAAATTAATTATAAATAAAATTTTAAAATAATAAATTTTCAGTTTTTAATTTTAGTATTATAATTTGGAGAACACTGCCGGTTCTCCTTTTGTTGCTTGTGCTATTGCAGCATTTACAAAATCTTCACTTTGTAAAAACGTTTGGTTGAGCGTTCTCTGTAAAAGTAAATTTAAATAACTTAGCTTGTATTTGTTCTGCAAGTATTAAAAATAAATAGTAAAATAAAATTGAATTCCTATTTACAGGTTGATGATTAAATTATTAAAACTTACAACATAATCCAAGCCTTCTTGAGTCGGGCGATCTCGAGAATACACCATCGTCATTTTAGTTGCTTGGACGGCTACTGGACTTTTTTTTGAAATTTCTTCAGCAAGCGCCAAGGATTCCTTAAACAGTCTGCGCAAAAATAAAAAAATTTCTATAGTTTTCTACTAATTTGTTATGATTATAATATCATTGATTGACATACGTTTCATCATCGTTGAATAATCTACTGACAAATCCGCATTTGCAAGCTTCATCAGCCAGCATTTTACGTGCAGTAAACGCCAGTTCTCGAGCCAAACTTTCAGAGCCAACAATTTTTGAAAACCACTGTAGAGCTCCAACGTCAGCAGCCATTCCAAGATCAACTTCTTTCAAAGAAAACCATGCATTTGATGAACAATAACGAATATCAGCTCCAGAAATCATATTGAAACCTCCACCTACACATGCTCCGTGAACTGCAGCAATAACTGGCTTACGACACTATTGAAAATATTTTTACTATCAATAGATGATAATTAAAAAATTTAGTAATTATTCAAAGCTATGCTATAACCTTTTCAATAGATAAGAACGAATCTTGATATTTTTTTATTTTCTGCTCCAATACTCTAGCCTTTCTAGCAACATCATCATGCTCAGCCAACATTGACCCCATGCTCATAGCATCCTGTAAATCAATTCCTGAACAAAATGCTCGCCCGGCTCCTGATAATATGATAACACGACACTCTGGCGTACTGTCAAGTTCTTGAAAGCATTTACCAATTTCTCTGTAACCCAGAAACTAATTTTAACTTTTATTATAAGTAATACTGAATTTAAATGACCCTTAAAAATTTTTTGGATTTTTATAACAATTAAATTATAATGAAAAAAATTTAGTTATAAAATTTCACACGTAGAATTTAAAAAAAAATTACAAGTGTGAATTTTTTTTTAATATTTTATGATTACTTAAAATTAATAAATTTTTATTTTTTTATATACTTACTCCCACATAGTATTGTTAAGTGCATTCAACTTGTTCGGTCGGTTCAATTGAACTTGATAAACATACTCTTTGGGACTTGACACTGAAAGTGTTTCAAAACTCAACGACTTCATGTCTGATGCTGCCCTGATACTTCGAAATCCAGCAGCTTATGTAACAATATTTTTATTGACAAATTACATCATTACTATTTAGATATTTTATAAACAAATGTTAACAAACAATATAGTGAGTCAGTAAGTAAATTAGCTAACAATTAGTCTAAAACTAGAGTTAAATTACCTTTAATTGAAGATTGTAGTGAACTCATAATTTTTGCTGAGGAAATCATCTTGAAATTGAAATTAAATATATATTTTAATATAATTAATGTTTAATTTTAGGTGCACTGATTACTGGATGGTCAAAGTCTTTATTGCATTTGTTTGGTATACTAAATTATAAATAAATTAAAAAAATGTTGTTCAACAAGTTATGGCAAGTACGTCGGTAAAATAATTCTCTTGAAAATAATTATATCATTCAATGTGTGAAAAATAAAATTTCTAACCTAATTTAAAACTAAAATTTGTCAACATTGAGTTTCAAAATAATAATTTAAGTCAATTGTTTAAGTTAATAATTAATTGATATTGATAAATAATTTATCAAAAAAAAAAAAATGTTTCTAAATAAAGTAGTGTCAAAAGTGTGTGGCCCAGGAGTGAATCAATTAAAAATAATAAAGAGACTTGCAACAAATCATCCGGACTACTACAAGTCACCAGAGAAACTTCAAGCTGAGGAAGAAGAATCAGAAAATCCAAGACCCAGACGTAGATTAAAAAAATGGCGAAACATGCCTGGTGGAATTGATCAAGATCCTGGAACATTTCTGAGCATGTTCAATCGACAAGCAGATAGAGATGATGCTGGAGGTATAATTTTCAGAGGCAAAACTTTCTACCCATCTGACTTTAGTCGATGGTACTATGTCAAGCAACATGAGTATTTACAATATGATCAACGTTATCTTCCTGAGCGTAATCAAGCACTGGGTAACGATTTAGCTGCTACACATTTTCTTATTTTCCGACACAGTCGTATCCGGAAAAAGGGGGAAACTGAGTTCTGGGATGCTAATGACATGGAGAAAATACCAAATTTGTATACGCAAAACTGGTACCTTGAAGAAATAGATGCCAGTAACTCAGAAATAATTTTTGAAGGAATTGAGAATTTTAAGGGGCTTAAATTTTTAAAAAGAGCTTCATTTAAAAATTGTAAGCATTTTGATGACTGGTGTTTAGACCGAGTCATTGGTCTATGTCCTACGTTGGAGTATTTAAATGTCTCGGAGTGTAAAAAACTTACTGATCGTGGTCTTGAGAGCCTTTACAGAGCATGGAATTTGAAAGAATTTCATATTAGCGATTATTTTCACAGTCCGTCATTTGAATTAACTTGTATGATGGTGGAAGACTGCATGCCTCAGTTGAAAATTAATGTTAAAAAAATGCCCAAGGTTGAAATTCCAACCGAAACTAGAGCAGCTGAAGAACCTGACGAAGAAAAAAAAGTTTCTGAAAATAAAAATTAATTTAGATTTATTATAAATTAAAAATAGTTCATTAAAAAATTATGAGAATCCTCAGACAATTTTTAATTGTGAAACATTTTTCAAAATTTCTTGTCTGTTAATGAATAATTTTTTAATCATTTACTTGAAAAATTTTTAAATTATCTTCTGTTAATTTCACTATAATATAAAAATATAATTAAGTTAAAGTCATAAACTATGTAAATAGTTAGGTATTATAAATAAAAATAAAATTACTTATAATTACACACCACCTATTTTATTTTTCTCCCTACGTTTTTTTACATACTGCAATTCAACTTTATTAGCAATACCATAATTTTTAATATTTTCATTATCATTATTTAAAGGAACACCGTCGAAGCATAAGTCGTACTTTTTCCACACGTGCTTCCAGCTGATTTTTTTTTTCACTCGTTCTCGACACAAAGCCAGTGTTGTTTGTCTCTTTATCGCTTTTTTCAGATCCAAAACGGTGGTACTGTTCGGTGAAACCTGAAAACCCATTTAGTTTATATCATATTAAAATATAATGGAGCTAATTATTAAATAAAAAGTAAATAATTACCACAATATACAAACGAGGCAATTCACCCCGATTTAAATACAATGTGATAGCCTGTCCTTGAGCAACAGCAGTCTGGGATTTTAATTCTTCAATTGTCACATCTGAAGGTAGACCAGAAAAAAGTGGATCACTTTCGATTATTTTGTCAATAGCTTCCTGAGTTAATTTAACCAACTCTTCATGACTAAAGTGTGCTTCATTATTTGACTCTTGATTTAAATTTTTAGTTTCCTCAGCCATTGTTTGTTAGAGCCGGCAAAATGTATATATAAATAAACACATTCACGTGGGACTTTATTATTTACCGGATATGTATTTACAGCTTTAACCTAAAAGTCTTACAAGTTGAATAATAAAAACAGAAAATATATTAAAGTAACAATTGCAACATTCAATTTAAAAAACTATCAACAATTACATTATTTAAAAGCTCCAATATTCGGTTGAATAAAACCTATAATTAAATAATTAATTAATTAATTAATTATACGTCAGATGACGACACATGTACATTAAGGATCAAAGTATCCTTTGTCCCAAAAATGTATCCTTGAAAAAACTTGATCCTTTGTTACAAATTTCATTTAAAAAACTAGTCCCTAAAAAAAAATTTTTTTTCATAAAAAAATAAATTTTTATTCAATTTTATTTATTTAAATAACCATCTAAAACTAATTTATAAAAAATAATTATTTAAATGACCATAATGTAATTTTAAAAATAAATTTGATTCATCAAATACAATAATAAATAAATCATTGTAATAATTTATTATTATTTTCTTATGATTATCATATTATGAATGAACGCCGATAAAATAACTCTATCGTATCAGTATCACGATGGCGCTGATTGAGTATCAATTTCATTACACATAAATAAATAACACAATCTACGCCGACTTACACGAACATGAGCATACATACGTACTTATACCTATTATAATAACTATCAGGTGAAAATGATGACGTTTGACACCGCATCGACACAAATTGTACACAACCGCCTTAATCACCCTACTTTATCTAACTATACCTACAGTTAAGTATCAATAACCACAATCCATACCTGTAAAAATAAAATATTAAAATAATAATAAAAAAAGAAAACAATGTAATAAATATAATAATAAAAATATAAATATTAAAAATTGTGACAGTGACCCCCAGTTAACAATCAATCAAGTTAATCATAATTGAGTTTCTTCAATTAAATTCTCTGTAAATTTACTTACTTATAACGACATACGTACTATAATAATATATTATATACATTACAAACATTCATCCATCACTCTACATCTCACATATATAGAGATATATAAGTATGTAGAGTAGTTTTTGACAAGGCGCGCATATTTAGTGGCCGTGGTATGGGTTCATTCGGGTTCTCAAAAGTTTACGAAGGCCGACGGATTTCCCCGATTATATTAAAACGCATTTATATATATGTATATAATAAAAATAAACAGGTATAAGCATGTGTTTACATATGTATATATAACAAATCGACGAGTCCAGTAGCTTTATCACTTAGTGTTAGTACAGTAGTAATATATATCTACCACTCACTACAATATATCATTTTAAAATAGTGTTAGTTGGTAGTAATGGTATGGTAGTGGTGGTGATGGTGTTCCGAGTCGTTTATTGTTATAGTGTCGGTGGTACTGCTAATACTATCACAACAATCATAATAAATAGTTTAATAAAATATATACCTATACAATATAATATATAAGAACGAGAATTTCAACTATAAGATATTGCGCTTAAAAAAACCTACACTGCATTACTCAGATTCAGATGTAGTATTAAAGATAATATATATAGATATATACTTGTATGTCGGTATATATATATGTATATGTATATATATAAAAAAAAAGTGTAGTATGTACTGTAAGTAAAGTGAGTTGGTTGGTTAGTTAACATACTACAAGTTAAAGACTTATGCTGCGGTGTATGCGCGCCTTCTTAACTCTTCTTTACCTTGGTGTTGTTATATTTAACGCAAATTGTGTTGTGCAAAGGTTATGATTAATTATATATTATATTGATAAATACATAAGGTATGATTATAAATATAAATATTATTATTATTATTATTGTTATTGTTTCTTTTATTTGTATTGTTGTTGATATTATTGTAATTGTTGGATTGTAATATAGATATTGGTTGGAAATATTATGAGGAAAATAAAGTAACAGTCAACAGAGTGGTGTTATGAAAAAAAAATATTACGATGCATATTATTGAGCGCTGAAGATTTAAGCCGAAGGCGGCTAAAAATCATGGGAAGATCAAAGTTTCCAGGCAAGCCGCCGAAAACGGTAACCAGAAAACGAATCAAGGTTCTCGGGCGGCCAGAACCAACTCAAAGTGATTCCGTAACCGTTGCTGAAAACATTTACTATGGACTTTCACTGTTCAATGAAACATTTGGCGATAATGAGAAAGTATGAATTTATTTGCTTTTGATTTTTATTATTTTCATTATTTTTCTGATAGAATGTTTTTTTTATTAATTAATTTATATTTTTTATAAAATTTACTTTCATTTTTTATTTACTTAGCTACGTTGATACCGCAAAAAATTGATAAATTTTATAGGGTTGTAATATGTATGCGTATTACATTATTTTTTTTGTTTTATTACACGACGCAGACACTTTGTTGTTGTGATCCGCCGATAGAGACGCGCATACAAGGCGCCGATTTGATTGCGACTTAAAATTATAATTGATTTTTTTTTTTTTGTTATTATTATTATTATGAGTGATGAGTTTTTTTTTTTTCTTTACTTTATAAAAATATTCAAATGCATATATAATCGGCGGGAAAGATTATTCTATTCTATTTATAGAGCTGATTCTTGTGAATTTTGTTTTATTTATTTGTAATGAGTTTATTTTGATGACAACGGATGATGTCATTCAGGCTTTATTTTTTATGGTATAAAGCCAAGCTCACACACAGGCACCATAATGCCTATGTTTTATCATATATATATATTTTGACAGTAGATTTATTGTGTTTATTCTTTTACTTTGGCTTTTGGATTATTTTATGATAATAATGTTTATTTTTTCATGGTTTTATGGTATTTAAATTACATAGCACCATAACCATAATTTTAAGTCTAAGATTAATAAAGTATTTAAATATTACTACGAATTTAAAATTAAAAAAAAAATTTTTAATAATTACAACTATTATTTATTTTTAGGAACATCGTCCATTCCATGGTTTTAGCAATAAAGAAGCTAAATTATCCACATCATGTGCAAAAACATCAAAAAAGGATCCTGAAAATGATAAATTAAATCAACAAAATGATGAAAAAAAAATCAACGAATCGTTAACGGAAAATTTACTGTCAAAAACATTGGAAACTGAGAATAATTATAATCAACAAAAAATCAACGATCACAATAATAGTAATTTACCAGAAAGTACAAGTAATAATATTATTGTTGTTGTTAAAGAAACAGCTAATGTTAATAAAAAAGATAGTGAAGATGGAAAAAAATTAAAAAGTGGCAACAAATCAAAAGTTGGTAAAGGTGTTGTTAAATTTAAGCGTGTTGTTCGTACGCCGATATTGAAAGCTGTGAATAATATATTAGATCGTCATCAGCGGACACGACAGCTTCGAAATAGTACAGCCAAACGTTTATTGCAGAGGGCTAAGTACAACATCACGTCGAATAATCGTAACATTACAATCCAGTCTAGTGATAAATCAAATGCTATCAAAAAATTTGTCCTTCCAATGCGTAGTGCACACTCTTCTCGTGTTATTAAGCCAAATAAAAGATTTATTGAAGAATCGGAGCAGAGTTCTAGTGCTGACAATGAGGATGCCAAGCAGTCGAAAAAGAGCAAGACAGCTGGCAAAAGTCATGGTCGTGCTGTCAAATCTAAAATAAAGCAATACAAAAATAATTCAACAGCTTCAATTAATACATCAAAATCTGTTAAAAATTACAAGTTTAAAGGTACGGAAGATACGAGATCTCGAAAACATTCTGGTAATGTTAAAAAATCAACGAGTTTAATGAGTAAGACAAAAATGAAAAGTAAAATGAATAATAATGTTAAATCATCTTCAACGACAATAATTGGTAAATTATCAGAATCAAGTACAAGTGAATCAATTCCTTCAAAAGTTCTTCCGGATTCCAATACTCCAAATTTCGAGTCTTCCAGAGTTAAAACACGGTTGAGAATACCAAGTGAAAATCCAATCGACACTGAAAATTTATCACTAATAAATAATGACAATAGCATACGAAGTAATAAAAAGATTGATATTATAAATTCAGTTATTTTGTCATCGTCGTGTTCTGATGACAACGATGAATGCACGCAGGAGACAGATAAGAATTGTGATATTGAAAGTCAAAATAGATTGGACACATTTGAATCAGACAGCTCTCTGTCAGAGAGTACCAGCGAGAGTAATCACAATAGCGAAGATGAGCAGTCTGAGTGGACAGGTATGAAATTAGATGGAGGTAAAGTGATACTTCGAAAAGCAAGATTAAAGCTTGAGAATAAAAATTCAGGAGGTACTGAAGGGCCATTTTCAGTTACAAGTATTCAACAACAGCAACAGCATCAACACAGTCATAATAATAATAGTAATAATAATCACAATACAAGTATTAACTCAAGTTTAACTGGTACAGTTAAATGTGGAGTATGTGGTGCAGTACGCTTTTATCGTTTTGTTAATCAAGCTCGCAAATTTGGTATATATAGCTGTGAATCGTGTCGTAAATTTATAAGTAAAATAATAAAGCATCAAGCTTGTGCTAAGTCTACCAATACGACGCTTCCTGTATTGCAGTGTCACAAAGGTGACGGTATGTGTCTAGTGCCTCCAGTTGTACGCAGTCAACAGTGGAATTTAATGCGCTGTGCTTACAAAGCTCGCTGTCCAGCTTGTTGGCTAAAAATGTGTCTGAAATGTTACAATATACCAATGTCTATTAAAATGGGATTAAATTCTCTGCTTCCACCTTTGCACAGAGATCCTGTAATGTCACTAGGATCCATGAGTCAAGACAGTGATGGTCTGGACAATCAAAAGACCGTTGGATCTAAAATCAACTGGCCAGCTGAGGACAGTCTAGAGAAAAATCTCTTCAAGTCTGCGATTAGTTGGACAGGAATCCAAGAGAGAAAAGTTGGATATCAAAGTGGTCAAGGATTGTTGGCTAATAAATTTAACAAAGTTGACTATCCAATATCAATGTCGCTGGGTAAAAAGAGGAAAAAAGATACGAGGATAAAGATTCGCAAGAAAATAAAAAGTCCACTAGTACTGTCTCCACCGTCTGCTTGTTCTTCACCAACTGCTAGCCAGTCTACGCAATCGACTCAGCCACTTCGGCAGAGGGTTGATCTCAAAGGTCCAAGGGTTAAACACGTCTGCCGTAGTGCCAGTGTTGCACTTGGCCAACCTATCGCAACATTTCCCTCTACCGATGAAAAAGATGAGTCTGATGTCAGTAATAAGAATGCTACCGTTAAAACCAAGGACGAGGATAAGAGGCCTGACACAAGGGAAAAAGTTTCCAAGAGTAATCAAGAAAATAATGCCAACTCAACGAATAATAATACCGTGCAAACGTCTTATGCTAAAAAGAGTAAAGTACAATCGAATAATTTGGTATCGAGTCATCACAGTTTACGTGCACTTGTAAAATCAGGGAAAAATAAAATTCATGAAATATCAATGGATTTTTGGGAGCAATATGATCCTACGGAAGTTGGTGCTAAAGGATTTGCTTTAATTGCATCTGAAACTTTTCCCATTCCTGCTATTTGTTTTCTTTGTGGTAGTGCTGGAAAAGAGCCTGTAAGTATTTTTTTTATACTAAATCGTATTTTTTAATTTTAAAACAATATAATTAGCTATTTATTATAATTATAATTTTATTTATTACAGTTAATTCATTGTCAGTGTTGCTGTGAACCGTACCACGCATTTTGTCTTGAGCCTAGTGAATGGAATGCCTGTGTCCAACCAGACTGGTGTTGCCCACGTTGTACAATTTGTCAGACTTGTTCTCAAAGAACAGGACCAAAATTGTCATGCATTCGTTGTCGTCAATCTTTCCATCACTCATGTTTATCTAAATCAGGTGTGAATACCCGACTCTACAGTCCAGACCGGCCTTATATTTGTCAAAATTGCGTTAAGTGCAAAAGCTGCGGTAGCGAGGGTGTTAATGTTTACGTTGGCAATTTACCTTTATGTTCAATGTGCTTTAAATTACGTCAACGCGGTAATTATTGTCCACTTTGCCAACGTTGTTATAATGAAAATGACTTCAATACGAAAATGATGGAGTGTAACGAGTGCTCGTGTTGGGTTCACGCGCACTGTGAAGGGTTATCCGATGAATTTTATCAAGTACTGAGTTATTTACCGGATTCAATTGAATTTACGTGCAGTCAGTGTTCACCAAATCCAAATTCAACGTCGTGGCGTAATGCCATTGATAAGGAATTAAAAACTGGTTTTGTTGCTGTTTTAAAATCATTGAGTAAAAATCGTAAAGTATGTAATGCTCTTAACTGGAGTCCAAGAAAAGAGTGTCTGTGTAAGCCAGTTGTTAGTGTCAGAAAATTGTTAAATTTTTCTAATATTGACAATAACAGTAGTAAGCTCAATAGTAATAAAGAATTAACAATTAATGATATTAAAGAAATTGATTATAATAATTATGATAAATTTTCTAGTAATGGTGATAATAATAAAATTGATCCTTTAAGTCGATTTGATTTTGAAGCTGATGAACAGCAGCAACAGCAGCAACAGCAGCAAGAAGTGCCACGAAGAGGTTTACGAAAGCTTAAGCAAAAATTTCACCTGAAAGAATGCTCAGTACGAGTTAAAAATTGTATCATTAAAGATGGCAATGATTCTAGTAGCAATGGAGAAACTAATAATCAACAGTCATTAAATTCAAATGACAACTCTAATTCAGCACGTGAGTGTCTGTGCTTAGAGGAAAATATTTTAATGAAACCATCACCAAGTTTAATGTCTGTTAAACGTAAAGTAAACAACAACGAATATCAATCTCTTTTTCAATTTCACTGTGATATGGAGCACGTGGTTAATCGAGCAGGTAAACAAGATCTTATACTACTTTATCATAGATCTTTACAGGAAATATTTCCATGGTTCGACCCCAACCAGGCTAAAGTTAATTCATACGACGAAGAACTGTCATCGTCTTCTGCAGACATGGACGGTGACCGTGATTCATCGATATCTAAATTGAATGACTCGATTTTAGAAACGTGGAAAGAGGAAGTTGTCAAAGCGTCGAAAGCTATCACTATGAGAACAGGAAATGTCTACAGTGAACTTCTCTCAGAAGATACGAGGATTTGTGCTTTGTGTAAAACCATTGGAGACGGTCAAGAGAATCGTGAAGGTCGGCTTTTGTATTGTGGACAAAATGAATGGGTTCACGCGAATTGTGCTCTCTGGTCTAATGAAGTATTCGAGGAGATTGATGGATCGTTACAAAATGTCCACAGTGCAATCTCACGTGGTCGTATGATCAGGTGTGGTGAGTGCGGTAAAAAGGGTGCAAGTGTTGGCTGCTGTGCTAAAAATTGCGGTAACACATTTCACTATCCTTGTGCAAGAAATGCTGGATTAGGCTTGAATGATGATAAAACAATTTATTGTACATTACATTTGGCTAATTGTATTAATAAAAATCAAAATGAGGAGGAAAATTTTAGCTTAAAGAGACTGGTTTATGTTGAGTTTGGAAGAAAGAAGAAAAAATTCGTTGAACCTGATAGAGTTAAAGTAATGATTGGTTCTCTTATGATCGATTGTTTAGGCACAGTTATGCCTGAATTTTCTGACAGTAACGAAAAAATAATTCCCAGCAACTACAAGTGCTCGAGGCTTTACTGGTCAACAATAAATCCTATGAAAATAGTTAGGTATTACATACGCACATATGTAAAAACATGCACGACAGACATTAATTTAGACATGGATCACAATGTCACAATAGACCATTCTAAAGAACAAGAGACTGAAGAACGTCTGAAGATTGAAAATTTAGCCATCAAACAGACGCTAGATTCGTTAATTGATTCTGTTTTCAACCGAGAAGTAGATGACAACCTCGCTGAGCAAAATAATACGGATCTATTGCCACCAGATATAACGGATGTTATCTTTCAAGATTTACCACATGATCTGTTGGACGGAATCTCGATGCAGGATATTTTTCCGAAAATGTCTTATGAAGATTTTTTAGCGATGGATTTAAGGAACGATGGTGTCTTTGGTAACGATATCCTTAAAGATGAAATTTTGTCTTCTGACGTTGACGATGAGATAATTAAATCACCTTTAGATGGTAATAAATTAGCCAAAGATTCTTCTACTTTATCAGAAATAGCTGAGCAAAATGACATCTGGTTGCATCTTGAAACTAAAAGCAGCGTCCAAGAATTCATGGATGATCTATTAAACTCAAAATCACAAAAATTTGGCGGCAAAGAATTAAAACGCTCTAAATCTGAAGTTATTGGTAGCAATCCATTGGTTGTGGGTAGTCAGAGACGACATCACCAGAGATCTTGTAGCTTGACGTGGAGCTGTAAATTAGACGGAACTTACGGCCCGACTGTAAAACGAAGAAAATTATCACGACCGTCCACAGCAATAACTGGTGAAGTGAACAGTTATGTTGTCGATTCAGCTGAAAAAAATTCAATGTTCCATGAACTAAGAATACCCGAAAGTATTATGGTGACTGTAGGACGAGCACCTTCTCCTACGATCAATGAATCTGTAAGGGAATTCAAATACTGCATTGATGATCAAGGTATTAATCGACGAATTATGCCCACTAGAGAAGACAAAGATCACAAGCGTTTGCTTTGGCATACGAGACAACAACCTCGCATGCTTCAAGTTGACGGTCCAGCAGATCCTAGTAGTGCAAGTGAATGCAGTTCACCAGAGTATGACGTAGAAGAAAAATTAAACTCCGATGGTTATAAAATTATTGTAAATGAATGTGATAATTTTTCAGACATCGACTCCGAAGAGAATTTAAAAATTCCACAGCTGGATGGTGCCGACGACATTTCCAGTGACGATGAGAGTCATAGCAATCAAATGGACACAATAATTTACGTTCCTCACACCATCGAAGACGGTCCAGTAACTTGCAAACGTTGTCAATGCACCTACAGAACCCACGACAGTTACAATAGACACTTGTCTAATTGCGACATCGTAACGACAAGCGACAGTGACTCCGAGACAATTGATCACAAAAGTGCTTCTTCGTCGACCTTTTTCGACGATTCACACTCACCACAGTTTGTTACTCTGTCATCGCCGTCACAAGGCCGTACATTGTCGACAAATTATCCAGATATTCAAGTAACATCACCTTTAGAAGCTTCAGTACCTTCTCCTCACACCGGTCTGCAAATAGAACCGATCGCCCAGGCATTAATTACACCACAAATTCACAGTCACGAAACAGTTGAGACTCTCCATCAAACAGTATTGACGTCCAATGAAGTTATTGTCCAAACTCAGTATACAAGAACGACTACAACATTACCGAATTCTTCAGCAGCAGTATTACCTCAAGAAAGTAGTATAAAAATAATAGAAATAACTGATTCACCAGCACACGAACAAACATCACAGAGTCTCGTCCTGTCTAATGATAATCAAAATCAACACCAGGCTGTTGTAAGTCCTTACATACCACCTGTAATTCAACCAGACTCTTCGGTTATCAGAGACATTGATGAAACTCTTATAAATCATCAGCAACAAGCAACGGTGATTTGTAATAACAAAGTATTAAAGCCAAAACCGCGAGTTGTTAAAGCTAAAACTAAGGTAATTAAACCACAATATATTAAAAACAATTTAACTCAACAGCCTATTCGGTTCCAAACGATTCATCAAAATTCATCACCGATGGTCCATTTGCAACAAGCGCCACGAGCCAATGCACCGACTGTTATTCTTCAGCAAGTCCCGTCTTCTGGAATAATGTCAGCGTATGTGGATACGCTTCAACAGCAGTCTGACCAAAATTTACAATACATCACAACAATCGGAGGCCAAGAAACTGCTTACAAGCCTCAATTTATTTCAACCAATCAATTGGTACCTGGTGCATATATCCACACAGCTTCTGATAATCTTTTGGCCCTTTCCAATGGTGGTATTTCAGTTTTACCGAGTGTACAGATAGCGCAACCTCAGCCAGCTGTTTTGGGAACGATAATCCAACAGCAGCCAAACGCTATTCAGTGTGGAGTGATATCGTCAGAACAATTAGTACTGAGTTCAACTCCTACATTAGAAATGTTTACAGATTCTACAGGCAGTATGTTTGTCTCCAGTCAGCCGATGTACTACGGGTTAGAAACTATCGTCAGCAATACTGTGATGTCATCAAGTCAATTTGTCACTGGGGCAGTACCTCAAGTACTAGCCAGCAGTTATCAAACAACCACCCAAGTATTTCAAGCGTCGAAATTAATGGAGCCTATTGTCGATGTGCAAACGATGCCAAGTGTGTCTACGGTACAAGCAGTTCAAGGAATTCCTAGCGTTCCTCTGCAAACTCAAAATCAAACCGTCCCTACTGTACAATCAATCCAAAGTATTCCAGCTGTACAGACAGTCCAAAATGTTCCGAACATTGGCAGTTACGTTGTAATGAATTCCCAACCTGTGGAAACTCCAATAACAAGTACAACTTCGTTAAACCACCCAGGTGGAAATATTGGATCTACTACACCTGGGGATCAAAACTTTGATGGTTTATCGGGTTCTATAATCACCACAGAACCCATGACAGCTAAATTGCAAATACAAGAACCCGAGGTTGTTAATCCAGTGGCGCCTTATATAGACATGTCTTCAAGATCAATGTCAACAGTAACATCAGCAGCAACAGTAGCTCGGGCAATTCAAAATCACCAGAGTATACCTCGTATTGCCGTGCGTCCGAGTCCAGTATCACAACAAACAGTCACGCAACCCAATTACGGGCAATGGAAATTCATTTCAGAGCCTATCTACAGCGTCGAACAGCAAACTGTCAGCAGTAGCACGAGACCCTATCTAGACTCAAAACACGTGTCTGAAAATACGAGTATGATAAAGTCGAGTTTATCATCAAAAGTATCGCCGTTGTCAAATCACTGCGTCACGCAGCGGGATATTGTTAAAAAACTCAATAACTGTGATGTTGGTAATAATGGCCATGATATTTATCATGGGTTATCAAGTAATTTTGTAAGCTCAATTACTTCACAGCAGGCTGGTCTCAATAATATCAATAATAACAGTAACAGTAGTAATGTAAGCAATCTTAGTAATAATAGCAATAATCAGAATAAAATAATGACAAGTGTTGCTCCTACGAGACCGATGAATCGAGTGCTGCCGATGTTAGCTGTTGTACCAAAACTTGAAGCGATTAAACCTGATATCAATGATATTGAGGAACCGACTAAAGAAATAAAGCCAATAATTGAGTCAGAATCCATTGAAACGTTAGAAAAATCAACAATTGAATTATCGGATAGTGTAGACAAAAATTTTACAGATAAATTTTTTAATGACAAACCACTTATTGTCGGTGATAATTTAATCAGTGATGAAATTCTATTTGGTGATGACAAATTATTTGTTGATAAAAAAAATCAAGTAATTGTCGATGATAAAGTAATTGAAGACAAATTAAATGAAGATAAAAATGCTATTGAGGATTTAAAACTGCCTGAAGAAAATAATAAAAGTGAACCAAAATTAATCGTTGATAATACAGAAGAGATTGAAGAAAAAAATCAATTTGATAGTGGTGATAAAAAAGATCAATTACAAAATGCATCGTTGAAAATAGTATTACAGAAACAGTTACAGGATGGTTCGTATAAAATAACGAATAATGTTAAAACAACAAAAGCTCCGTTGATGACAACAACAACAACAACAACAACGACAACAACAACAACAACAACTGCTACAGCTGTTGTGACTAAAAAAAGTTTACCAAAAATTACATCTGTTGAAATATTACCCACTAAACAAACTCCTCACATTGGGTCATTGCAGTTATTGCCGATTAAAAAATTTACTTTGAAAGCGAATAAAGTCGAAGAAATTCCACGAATTATACTTGATAATAACACAATCAAGGATTCAGTGACAAGCTTATCGAAGCCAAAAATAACGACTGCTGTAAAAACATCTAGACTTTTATCTAAATCGAAAGTTACTTCAAAAGTTGACCCGCTAAATAATCTCAATAATAATAATAATATTAATAATAACAACAACAACAACAATAATATTAATAGTATGAGTAATATAAATGCTCCGAAAAAAAATGAACCAAAATTAATGTACGAAATAAAATCACAAGATGGATTTACGCATACAGCGTCATCAATGTCTGAAGTTTGGGATTCAGTCTTTCAAGCGGTTCAAGCTGCGCGAAAAACGCACAACTTACCTCCACTTACTCATAATCCATTGACGGAAAATCTAGGGTTGGACAATAATGCAACGGTGTACCTGGTTGAACAATTGGCTGGTGTTAATAGATGTACCAAGTACAAACCCAGGTATCATAATTTGAAACCACCAAAATCATTTGACAGCGATATTTTGTCGGGATCCGAGTACGGATCTGCACGCGCTGAGCCGTTTAAGGAACGCAAAGTTCATGATATGTTCAGCTGGCTCGCGTCACGACATCGTCAGCAGCCGAAAATTCTAGCAGTCTCGGAGATGGATGTCAGAAGAGCAGCAAGTACCAATTTACCAATGGCTATGAGGTTCAGAATGCTCAAAGAAACTTCGAAAGAATCTGTAGGTGTTTATCATTCTCATATTCATGGCCGAGGATTGTTTTGTTTGAGAGACATTGAAGCTGGAGAAATGGTTATCGAGTACGCCGGCGAGGTACGTTATTATTATTATTATTTTTTATAATTAATATTTGCAAATAAATTTATTTAATTATTTATTTAAGGTGATACGCGCTTCATTGACTGACAAACGAGAAAAATATTATGACAGTAAACATATAGGATGTTATATGTTCAAAATAGATGATCATTTAGTGGTCGACGCAACAATGAAAGGAAATGCCGCAAGATTTATAAACCATTCTTGTGAGGTAAATGACTTTAATTTATTTTGAAATATTATTAATTGATAAAATTAATGTTAATTAAATATTTAAAAAATTTTGTTTGATTTAATATTTAACAGCCCAACTGTTATTCAAAAGTCGTGGATATTCTTGGTAAGAAACACATATTAATATTTGCCTTGCGACGTATTACTCAAGGAGAAGAGTTGACATACGACTACAAATTTCCATTTGAGGATATTAAGATACCATGTACTTGTGGCTCACGAAAGTGTCGTAAATACCTCAATTAAAATAATCGTTAAGTAAATAATTAAAGAAAGAAGGAAAGAAAAAAAAAATAATACTTAACGTAATATCAAACTAAGTCTCGTATCGAGCAATACCGAGCAATTTAAAATAGCTTAAATATTATTATTTACATACGCAACTATGATTCGTCCTATACTACTAAAATAGTAACTTAGTTACTTCATTTATAGATCGCAGCTTTTATTTTAATATTAATTATTTTACAATTAAGTATACATAATTATAATTATTACAACGATATTAAATTTTCATTTATCAATTTTACATACGTATTAGATTTTAAATAATTATAATTATAAGCATAATAATTGCTTTCTTATGCTCTCGACGTTATATTCGCCATTGCGTGATAAATAATTAATGTATTTTGTATTATTATTATTATTATTATTATTATTATTATTATTATTATTATTATTATTATTATTATTACTACTGCTATATAGCATTACATACTGGGGCTTTTTTAACGAATTCATTTATATAAATATATATCTATGATTTATTAATAATCCGGTTAATGCTTTACGATTAATAAATGAATCACGATAGTGCTATACTGCATTCGTGATATTTTTTTTTTATATATATATATATTATCATGACATGTTTAGTATTTTTTTTAGTTCACTGACTAAAATATCTATAGTACCCAATGCAGTCAATGATCCCATTAATTGTTGGGATGATAAATCGTATCTATTACTTTTAGACTTCCGATAATTATTGAATAAAAATGATTTTGATCTTTTTAATATTATTACTATTAATGAGCGTTAATTTAAACAACATTGCATAGGTTCAGAGACTAAGTGTACAGTGTATTTTATTATTAATATACTTGTGTATGTTTTATTGTGCCTACTATTAGATCGAGCTAATAGAATATCTTTGTAAAATATGTATAACTTTTTTTTTTTTTTTTTTTTTAATTTAGACTATCCTTTTTTTTAGTAGCGAGTTATATAAAGAAAATGCGAATAAAAGAGAAAATATGTGAAAGAGATGAATGAAAAAATATAAAGGCAGTAGAGAAAAAAAATTCATAAGCTACTTTGGCAGACATTGATTAAGAATAGTGTGAAACAATAATAAACTCAATCAGATTACTAAAAAAAAAAAAATTGGGAGGAAGCAATATTCGCCTTTCTCATATAAATAGAATATATTTATATATTACTCATTAAATTTGCAATATAGTTGACGAATAAAAAACAATCTATTGTGGAGAATAATCAAGTGCGAAGTAAAGTGGGCATTTTAATACTTTTTTTTGCTTGTATAACAAATCATTGATTTTTTACTATTTAAAAGTATTAAGCATTATTGTGCTTCCACTTTAATCATATATTGTGTTGTATTAAAACTTTTTATTTAACCGTAAATCATGTGCTTTTTTTTTTATTATTAACGTCAATTAAAGTTTAAAGTTCATAGAGAAACAGATTTATTGAAAAAATCTATACATATATAAATAAATTTGAATCCGTTCCTTCAATTGTAATAATATTATTATTGAATTAATTTTATTTATTAAAATAATACTATAATGATAATAAATACAATTGAGACATAAATGTTTCGCTGTACAATAATTTTCCATTGGGAAATGAATTGCAATCGCGATTTGCCTTAAATTCGTAGTTAAGTCTACGCTTTAACACGGTGATGATAGATTTTAGGAATAATAGTAAACGTGAATATAGCTTGATCAATTTTTAAATTATCGTATTAAATTTTTTTTCTCATACAATAATGATATTTATGATGGTAATTATAAATAATAATATAGATAATGATAATAATGATATGTAATTATTGTATTGAGAATAAATAATGTAATATCTTGATGATAATAATGATCAATATCTGCCGAGGTAGACGTCCCTTCAATTTATTGGTGCTCTATGGACACCGTTAAGTGCACTTTTCATTAATAAAAAAATGAAATAAAAAATAGAAAATGGTAAAAAAAAAAAAAAAATGAAAAATATTATTAAAAAGGCCTAGAATTAATTGAGTTGTGAATTTACATCGGGTTTTTATAAATAACACTAATTGAAAGAAAGAAAGAAAGAGTGTAAAAACAAATAATAAATTAATGAATTGTGAAAAAATTATTAAGAAAATAAAATCTATTAATTATAAAAATATTTAAGTAAAAAAGAAAATTTAATTTAATTTAATTAAAAATAATATAAGAGATAAATGATGGCAGGAACATTATTAGCACACGCAATAAAAAATAATAAGAAAATAAAATGTCGAAGAGCACTTAAATTTTTAATCGGCCTGGTTTGGTACAAAATATGTGTGGTAAAAAGATGTAAAATGTCGTAGAGCGGTTAATGAAAAGAAAAACAAAATAAAAAAAAGTACTACGATAACAAAATGATAAAAAATAAAATAATGGAAACTTGTTCTGGTCACGAGAAATTGCCATTTGTTTTTTTTTTTTCTAGGTTTTTTTTTTTTTTTTTTAATTTTATTTTATTATTTTTAATTATAATTATTTGTAGACAAGTTAAATTTTTTATGAAAGAACTAATGTTAATATAAATTAAATAACTATATAATTAAATTAAAATGATAAATCATGTAAAATATGGAGTAAAAAAAGATGATCGAATATAAAAAATGGAAGATAATAATTTACGAAATATAATAGCAATGTTAGATATTTTATTGATATTTATTAATTATAAAATAATTTAAATTGATAAATTAGTTTTAGAAAAAAAATTAACGAAGAGAGATATTAATTAAAATAATGCATAATTTAATTAAGGAAATGCAAAATAATTTTTTTCATTCATTATGCAGAATAAGCGTCCGAAATGTCATATATGATTAATTATTATATTATATATAAGCTTATATCTGTTAGATGTAATTTTTATGTATTTAAAACATTTGTGCAGTGATTTTTAAAATTTAACTTTAATTAAATTTTTTTTATTTTTTATATTTTTCGAACATGCAAAAATATTCAAAACAAATATTTTATACATTTGTCATTCTATTTTGAACTATTTATGTCAATATATTGATTAAAGTTAAATTGAATGCATACATAAATAATTACTGCTTGTTCCACTGGTTTAAAAACTAAATAGCTGCAGTACTCCGGTTATAGCTAATGTTGCTTAATTAATTGATTAAAAGAATAAAATAACAACAAAAATAGTGCATTTTTATAAGCTTAACTCAAAATGATTTTATTGGTTTGTAATTATTTATAATTAGAGTTTATAGTTCATAAAAAAGTCTAGTATTATTAAAAAAAATTTTTTCAGATTGTTTTTTTTTTATTAATTTAAAAAATTTAAATTACATAGTAGTTTTTAAAAAATGGTAAATATGTTAAAACAGAGGCATAAGATCACTGCTGAGTCACTTGTGTAACTTGAGCACGTTTAGCACCAATTTAGTTTTTATCAAAACTAGATAAGCATTAAATAAAATGTGTGAATTATATAAATACATAAAGAATAAAAAAAAAAAAAAGGATAAGGATAAAATAAAAAAATTTTTAATTTTAAGGTTTATCAGGAATTAAAAATTATTAATAGCCAACTAATTATTAATATTTTTATTGTAATGAACTGTGAAATTTTTGAATATAATATAAAACGTTTGAATATTTAAGAGAAGAAATTAAAAAAAAAAAAAAATATTAAAAATAAGATAAATTATTTAAAAAATTGGAAATTGAAAGATTGAAAGAGAAAAAAAAATTGAAATTGTCTGTGATTATCAGTCATAATAATCTTTAGCTCCACATATTTTTTAGATGATATTTTTTAGGAGATTACAAAATTTATAATGTACCCATATTAATTATTATTACTACTAATTATTATTATTACTTACTAACATGTAATTATTGGATCAAATATATACTATGAACAATTATATATGAGTGACAGTTTTGTAAAATGATAAATTTTTTTAATTAAAAAAATTTTCAAGTGTGAATGTGAGAGTGAATTATTTAATAAATAAATTTTAAAATTAAAAAAAAGTTGTGAACTATTTACATTATTAAATTTTTTAATGGCCGAGACTGTTGCTAAAATGGACATATATGTATAAAAAGCAACTAATAACGAAACTTCGAAAGATTAATTTACGAATAGTTGTAATTGTTAATTCCACAATTTTTTTTCTTTAAATTAATAATTTCTTTGTAATTATGTAAATTAATCTTACATCAGAAGGTATTAATACACAGGCATATTAGCAAACGGCATTTGTAATTGAACAAATAAAAATCTTATAAAATAATAAAAACCCATTAAATATATCCATAAACAAAATATAACAGTGATAACAAATCTGAGGGAAGAAGTTATCGGAACAAAAAGTCGACGTTTCTTTGCGTGCATACTATCATTATAAATCCATGGCTAACTTACTGCAGAATAATTATTTCTAATACATTAATTTTTATTGTAATTAAATGAATTTACAAAATTAATAACTCGTCAATGTTGAAATAAATATTTTTTTCTTGAAAAAAAAAAAAAAAAAAAAAAATTATCAAATCAAAATTAAACTTTAAAAAGTTGATAATATATTTTTTATTTTTAAAATAAAAATTTATAAATCTTATCAATTAAAATAAGAGCTAATTAAAATAATAGAGTATATTTAGAAAAAAAAAAAAAAAAAAAAAAAAAAAAAAAAAAAAAAAAAACTTGCTTTGAGCGATAAACTGGCGTTAATATTTCAAATAATCATTGGTATTTTAACAGTAATTAGTTTGAATACAATAATCTTATCACTGCTTTATGACTCCCTTTGTTCCCACAAACAAGACAAGTAGAAATAAATAATACTAGCAAATATGTATAGAAATAGTGATAATGATAATAAATATAATAGTAATGTCGCAATTGATTGTATAGGTGCTACTGGTTGCATTATACATATGGTGTAATAATAAAAAACGATGGAAGAAAAAAGCTATGTACATAAC